GCTGGAGATAGCGGCTGTGGAGGTGTCTGTTTTCTTCCTAATATAATGGAACTAGATGGCACTGGACTTGTGGTGCTCAAAGACCTAAAAAAATTTAAAGCTACTCAACAGCAATGTCCCTTTCTAGAAATCATGACCCTGTTACTCAAGATAATCCAGAGACCATATTGTGAGCAGTTTCATGTAGGAACTATTTTGTTCACTGAACTACACCCACCAACCATATTACCATGCAGAAGGCAGTGCGCATGTACTCATGGACAACAGACTCGTGCTCGTGAGAGCACGAGAGAGATGTAAACATTAATAGCATCCCCCTTTGCTGAACTGTAACGTATGCTAGCTCAGTGAATCTAGGTAAGCTAGCAGTAGATGGATGCTTTTCCTGTGTGGTGATATGATTGGCACATATAGTTTAGTGAAATGTCCCTTTAATACATGAGCTATAAGTGAGTGCTATTTGAATAGTAAAATCTCACTGGGAAAGTTTGTCACTGGTCTAAATAAACTGAGGCGTGCGCAGTATATGTTTCCTTTGCTGGTGGTTGTTTGTGTAAGTTTTGTTGTGGCATTTTATATGGGCCAAACTCTTTATAATATGCAGAGTTACCATGCTCCTGAAATTCCTAGAGAAGATATTAAATTAGAAAACCTTTTTCCAGGCCTGCAAATGGTCTGAAATTAAAAAGACATTTTGGAAAAGTTTTGAATATATATATTGTTTTGGTTATTATTAAAAATATTATCAGAAAAACCCAAAACATGTTTAACATTATGCAACAGTTCCTTGATTACTGAGTGAAAATCTAGCGCTGCTCTGCGTGACCATTGAAACATCACCAGTATCACGTGATACACAGTAATATACAGTAGTATAGCTGCATCAGACTGTTGTCTGATTCAATTAGATATACATGTTTTATTAAATCACCAGGTATCTTGTTCTAGACATCTATACATCTATACATGTATAGATGTATAAATGTATAGATAAGGAATGTCTGGTCAGTGGTGAGTCATTAATCTACTTGGAGGGGAAAGTCTGAGGGGACATGACAGTGGTTAACCTTAATTTACTACAGTATTGCGAACGCCCAGGTTTAGACAAGGTTGCAAAATAATTATAGGCATGTATATAAAACAAATATTTGTTTAGCGAGAAATAAATGCACACAAATGTGTCAAAATTACAATCCAAACACACGACAAATTGCATTAACATCTATAGGATCTTCACTTTGCTACCCCCAAAAAGGCCCTAACGACATACTCATATGTGCCAGTCTTGTCTATTGCCATAGGCAGCTGCCAGCTAGTTGGTGGCCATGTCTAACATGCAAGTAAAGTTAGCGAGCACTACCAGTTTGCTTATCTGCAAATGGCCGGGAAGTATGTGTTTAGTAATGTATGGCTGTATAAGCCTACCCATTTTAAACTAGACTGCTCAGAAAATTAGAGGAACACTTAATTATCACAGTATAACACCAAGTCAGTTAAACGTCTGGGATATCAATCTGTCCATTTAGGCACAAGTGATTGTGAATTAATTTCATCTGCTTTGGTGCAAATGAAAGTGACAACAGGTGCAATGGAGAGACAAAAGCAAGACAACCCCCAAAAAAGGAATCTTTTTTTCATGTGGTGGCCACAGACAGTTGTTCTCTCCTTATCCTGACTGACTGATTCTTCTCTAGTTTTGTGTTCTGCTAGTGTTCTTGTCACTACTGGTAGCATTAGGCGGTACCTGCAGCCCAATCAGGCTGCACAGGTAGTCCAGCTCCTTCAGGATGGCACATCTGTCTTTGGGGGGCCACACAGACCTCTATGTCATAGCCATCAGTAGTACCCTGACTACTGTTAGGTACCAGGATGAAATCCTCAGAGCGATTGTCAGATCTTACACTGGTGCAGTGGGCCCTGAGTTCCTCCTGGTGCAGGGCAATGCCCAGCCTCATGTTACCAGAGTGTGTAGGCAGTACCTGGATGACAAAGGCATTGATGCAGTTGACTAGCTCTTTCAGTCCCCTGACCTAAATCCAATTGAGCACCTATAGTACATTATGTATTGGTGCGTCTAACGCTGCCAAGTACTGCCACAGACTGTCCAGGAGCTCACTGATGCCCTGATCTATGTCTGGGAGGAGATCCTCTAGGACATCATCTGTAGACTCATCCGGAGCATGCCCAGACGTGGACAGGAGTACATACAGACATGCAGGGGCCATACACGCTACTGAGTCACGTTATGAGTTGCCGTGATAAAATTCACTCAAGTAGGATCAGCCTGTGATTTAAATTTTTTACTTTGATTTTTGATGTGATTTTGAATCCAACCCTCAGTAGGTTGATGATTTTGGTTTCCATTGACCGCTGTTACATCATTTTGTTTTCAAAAAATTCATTTTTCAACTTGAATAATTCTTTCATCAAGATCTGATGTGTAATTCAAAGTTACAATGTGTAATTTACGTGGTTGTTTATTAGCAAATATCCACTATTGCTTTCATAAATATATATTTGCTAAAGTGTAATGCAGTTCACATACAAATGGAAGCTTTCTCATAGGCTTAGAATGATTTCTCTATATATACACAGGCAGGGCGCGGTCTGCTGGAGGCTGCCCTCTTGCGTCACCATATTTGAATACAGTGGCCGAAAGGGATATATGTGCTTTGCGTTTACCTAGAACTTGCCGTCACTGGAGACAGAGAAGGTGAAGATCAATCTGGGGCGCTTCTGTGTGAACCTGCTTTGTACTTTTATGATTCTGTCGAACTTTAAATGGAGGAGCACACACATGTTTTGTCCCGTAAGAGGGAAACCACGCCACCAAATAAAAGAAAAAGATCAGATAAGCGAGGATGGGACAAAACGCGAGTGAATATCAGCGTTGCTTATTTTATTTGAACTCCTGTGGAAGAACACTCTGGAAACGCATATGTTATAATCGTACCAACCTATATTTGCTGCACTGTGCCGTGACTATCACATAAAATGTGTTATTTTAGCATTACTGTGCTAATGTTTGCTCGTGTTACCAAAAAAATTAGAAATAAAACACTCCTAACATAACGTTATATCTCACAGATAACCTATATGTCACTGGTAAGCTATAACATATTGTAGCGTCCGCCAGGACATGTGGAAAGGATGACGCAGTTATTCGGCAAACCACTGTTTATTACTGAACAGTACAGGTTACTGTTGGCCATAACTACACCAAAATAACCACCAAAGAAGAACTTAGCTGTAACTCCAACTGTGCACTCCTGCTCTCTCTCTGCTGCTCTCTCCTCCAGCTCGCTCCTACATACACCAGCACGCGCACTCACACAGCTCTCATCCCCGTCACACTCGCACCCCGCCCCCCTACCTATACTCATTCAATCCCAAACATGCCATTAACTCACAGAACATTGACATTATAACAGAACATTTACTGCAGGGTCGCTACAACATCGTAACATGGTTTAGATTCCTAAATAAATATTCACCTCGTCGCTAGATAGGCCTACTCCTGAAAAACTAAAAAAACTCGTGGATGGATCTCTGCTGTCTGCGCAAGGCTTTTTATCCTACGAGGCCACTGTCACTTACCTGATGGGAGGGGCGAGCAAGTGAGCGCGAGTGAGCCCTGCAATCTAGAATTTGACCGATGATGTCACTGTTACTCACCATTTTTACACACTGATGCTTTAAGTGTTTCTTTACTTTTTTTGAGCAGTGTACTCATATAAAGCAAGGAAATTGGGTAAAAATTGTGGAAAAATTATGGAAAAGTGTTGAAAATTTATTGTTAAGATATGTGGGAACCCTATATGTATGCTCATTTCCATTGAATGCTAGCTTGTTTCAGGAATTCCATGGCTCAGATATAATAAGATGGAAATACTTCATATACTTTGTACAAACTTCACTGAAGATTCATAGGTGTAGATATTTAATTATATTAATTCCGTACATTATGTATCAACAATGTAACACAATAGCTACACACAAAACACTTGCAGAAAGTCTTTCTAGCATTGTTCCTGGTGCTTACTGTACTGTAGTGAGCACTAAGGCTGTTGAAATGGATAAAACAAGGATGAGTAACTGTACTATATTTATGTGGCTCTGTGGACGGGGGTGGAAGGAATTCTCTAAATGATGAGACTCTGTGCTGCTGTGTGGTGCTGTTCACTGCAGAGGAGCTAGCACAGCCAGAATGCTAGGCTGCTCTCGTTTGAATGGAGGCTGGCAACAGTTCTGGAGGAGGCTGCGAGGCGGTGGCTGCAATATGGGCGGACGCTGACGCAGCTCATTCAGACTGCTGCTGGGAGTGTCCTCTTTGCTTCCAGCATGTGCAGCACTGGCCATCTACACAGACACACACACAAAGACACACACCATCTGATTAGCTTGAGTTGTGGTAGTGATATTGCCTATGTCCCTATGTATCTCTTCAGCTTGCTATCTGGCCAGCTGCTGCACCTCACCCCACCCCCTCATTAAATTCTGCATTGATTTTAGAAGCTCAGCCTGCCTGATGGAGAAACAACCCCCATCCCAGTCAGTTTCCATTACATTTACCCAGGCTATTGTTCTTGCGTGTACAGTAACAGCTCAGAGCGTGTGCGACTGGTTGTATATGTGTTCTAGTGGCATTTCGAGTTTCGCCTCCTGCAGCAGGGGATCTCTGCATTAGCGCAGCACACACTCCACTCTCTCTCCCCTCCCCCTTTCCTCCTCATGCTCTCTCTCTCTCTCTCTCTCTCTGTCTCTCCCGCCCCTCCTCTCCATGTGCAGACAAGGCAGCGTGCCGTGTGTGTGTGTGTGTGCATGCGCAGGGTGGATGGGGATGCTGTACGCTGGAGCTGAGAGCTGCAAGGTGACTGAGGGAATGGAGAGGGATACAGAGCTCTGACGGCAGTGACGATGCAGTGCCCTCTACCCGAGCACCTTCTCCTCTTCACATCCCTCCATCTCTCTCTCTTCCCTGTCCCTCTTTCTCTTTCTAGACCGAGGTGGACCGCCTGCCCTGCTTGCAGCGCCTCTTTCTCAGCTGCAACCACATCACCAGGTAAGAGCTCGTACCGCTTAACTCCCTCCTCCCCGCAGGGCAGGGACGGAGATGGTGGCCGGACAGTTCCACATCCACTCCCTTGGCTCTTGGCAGGGCCTGGCCAACACTGCGGGCAGAATACACACAGACACACACACAGACACACACATACACAATAACACACACAGGTTTGCTGTGGTAGGCAGTTTCTGTAACCTAGAAAACAATAACCTAGATGTGTTCTTTATTGTTAGTAATTAGCATACTGTTATCTAAGAAAAGGGTGTGCCAATACTTTAAAGTTATTCAGACAGCAGAGAAGCAGGCTAAGAGAAGGTAGCTCATTTCCATGGAAAATTAATGACACATTTGAAGGTTGAGTGAATTCAAGAGCAGCATTGCTAGGTGAGAGTGTGTAGGATGAATGAGAGGTGCCTTTTGTTGCTTAGTGCAAACGTCAGCCTGCTTTACACACTTTCTCCAATATCTGTGGTCTGTTTTTCTTCCTTTGCTTCTCTCTGCGCTCAGCTGTAAAGCTGACACAGAGTTAACTTGTTAAAGCAGCATAGCCCTCCTACTGACTAGAGTTGCTTTAAGGAAGGGCCTGCATGTGGGATTCAGGGTGGGACAGTGTTCATTACCCTGCTTGACCACAGTCACCTTGTGCTGTGATAGATCTGACCTGACGTCTCAGGCCAGCCCTGCTGTTCTAGTGTCTCTATGATTTTGTATCTTGCACAGTGTTGTGGAGAGAATCATGACAAAGAAATAGGCAACAAATATTCAGTTTGTATTTTTAAACTTAAAGTCCTCCATAGAGTAACACTATATTCTAAGTACAGCGTGATCACTCAACTAATCTCCATAATATGTGCACTTTTTTCATATTTTTTCCTTCATATTCTTATTATCACTATTATGATATTTTGGTAACAGCATGTCAGTCAGACTACTCTTGATGGATGCTCACTATGATATTGTAGAAACCTGGTGTGTGTACGTTTTGAAACTGTTCAATGCTGATAGGAGAGCAGTTGTGCTCTGTTGCTAGGTAGAGGCACAGAACACACTTGTCTACTTGGTGCAGTCGGTTTGTCCAGTAGAGGATGTTGGAGCAAAAAAATCTCTCATGATTCTTTGAAATTATTATTTCACTTACCATAATCTCACATTTTTGACTTTACCTGCCTTTACCTGTTAGATACCTTATAAATCCAGGTTAAGGCAGAACTAATAATGAGCAGTCAGTAGAGAAATGGGTGCAGGGATTGGTGTGCTGGATGGATTTGGAAACTACACAATTTCCAACCACACCCCAGTCTGCACACGCAGCAAACAGACTTTTGAAATCGACTTCTTATTGGACCTTTGATAGCATCCAGGCACAGGTGCATGTAGGCTGTTACTACTGCAACTATTATTGAGTAGTTTATCATAGTAACAATACCCAAGAGGGCATTGGTCACTGTGATAATGAATGCAGCCATTATGCAAAATGCATGAGGCACTGTCAAGCACCATTGGGATCTCTCAAGGGGTCTCTTATATCACTGTCAAAAACAACTTCTTTATTGTTGTTAGAATATAGTTGTCTTTATTATAAGCTATTATATATAATGACACAATGTACTGTAGATTGATAGGCATTAATAACAATTAAAAATGCCCTAGGTTACTGTTACTGTGTGTATAAGATTGCAGTTTCCTGACTACCTCAAATGAAATGTGAATTGTGAAATCTTTGCTTTGCATTAGTCAGAGCACCAACAGAACTTTGTTTAATAGTTCATCAGAGGTTTATTGTGTGACCTTGTTTGGCTACCAAAGAAACCTCAGGCTAAGATCAGGAACACTGCAGTGTAGTAGGTTCCTAAGTTGTTCCAGGCAAATGATTCATCAAGGTTATTATCACAAATTAGCAATGATAGAATCCCTACTGCTGTACTTAGCATGACTGTGGTTGTTTGCCACAGGGAGATATCAACAGTGTAGCGGATATTTCTCTCTTTATTGCCCCCTGAGTAATGTCAGGCTGCCAGTGTGCTTGCTAAATTACTAGTTTTTCATGTCTTGTTTTAGCTTGGCTCCATTCTGTCAATACAAGCCTAGATGAAAGGTTCAAGAATCAAAACATAAATGGGGGAAGCTGTCATGTTTGACTGAAGTGGTGGATGACTCAGGCTTCCCAAAACTTAGTTGGGTCATCATGCCTCTGTATCATTGTAAAGCATTCAGTGCACCTTATTTTTGTATTAAAACATTTGTGTTCACTCCCCTCCAAAATACTTTTTCTTTGTGTTTAGTTTTGATCAGCTAGCCTGCCTTGGAGAGTCACGCTCCCTTTCTGAGCTCACCCTGGATGGGAATCCTGTAGCCATGGAGACATGGTACAAGCAGGCCGTCCTGCGCTGTGTGCTTCATCTGAGACAGCTGGACATGAAGCGCATCACAGTAAGGCTGAACTTTAGATTCTTTATTTCTACACGTTATTTCTGACGTGTAATAGTTTTTATAATGTTATATAGTCATTAACAAAAATGTTAAACAGCAAAGAGGATGTAGAGGGTTGACAAACTTCAAGCTATATAACCCTCACAATTCACAGTTGTGCTGCACTTTGTATTTTGAAAAGCCTTTGTTGAGTGTAATGTTGGGTCAGACAGTCATTCTCCGCGTAGCTAACAGTGTTGGGCAAGTTACTCTCAAAATGTAATATATTAAGTATTACTAGTTACCTGTATTTTGAAAGTAATAAGTAACTTTGCAATATTAGGCTCTCTGTATTACACTACTTTTGCATTACTTTCACCAAAATGACCTCAAAGGAATGAATAGGCATTTTGAATGGATGAAGGTCATGTTCACTGCAGGTAATCAAAGCACAGTAGCTCCATTTTATTACAGTTTATTACAAATCCAGTGCTGTGCAGGTCCAACCCATTCATGCATTCACATACAATGGTTACCACTTTGTATTAATATGAAAAAAATGATAAAGAACGACTAAATAGCCTCGACCTTTTAAAATAAAGGAATAGCCTTGGACACAGGGACCATCAGGCAGAGGATCAAAGTCTAATAATTATGAGATATGGATAAATATTTGTGGGACTATGATACAAAACACAATAAACAGTTGTTGAGGTTAGCAAAACAAATGGATTGCCGTGCGAGTCAGTTACAATGACAAGTGCAAATCAAAACACCGGAGCTGGAAGTACCGCCTGCTGGTTCCCGGTGTGCCTGTCAGCTACGACAGCACTGGAGAGAGAGTTATTCATAGGAATGGGACTGTGTGCCGGCATTGCTGTGCAGCAGGGGATGTGAATGGGAGCACATCCTACATATAGCCTACTAACATCACCCGGGCCAGATGTCCCAATCACTGGGATGAGGCAAAAACAACAGCTCCTTACCCCTGCTGCTTTCAGGCAGCCTTGGGATGCAAAAGCAGAACCGGATAGGCTGTATGTTGTTATATTAATGGTAACACACTGAACATGATAACGCACAGAACGGCAAGGCCCACATGTGCCGATCACTGGCAAACTTCTGTGATGTAGTCTGTAGTGACATGACAACACACAACAACCTTCAAATGTCCTAGATAACAAAAAGCACGTAACTTCCAAACTGATTCAACATGACCAAACTTTATAAAAACACACACACACACACACACACACACACACACACATACACACAAAGATAGACAGACACACAAACACACACACCATTTTGCCATGTCCCCTTTAATAAGTCATGACTCAGTTGTCATAGTGATGCATCACTGTACTAGTGATGAGTGTTTGCGAGGTTGTGTTTGTGTGTGTTACTCTATGAACATGCAGATGCATGTGCGTAAGTGGTCGCAGCTATTGCAAATTCCTGCTCATTATGAATTTACACTTACAAATAAACAATGAACTGTCATAGGCAGTTTCCTATTCTCTGTCAACGGGGCATCTTCAAGCTCCTGTACATCTTGATGCTATACTTATTAGTCTTTGTTTTCTGACATTTGCACAGCATTGATTATGGTCTTGGTTGTGTATTGGTGGAAAAAATGCATCAGTGACTAAACTATGACTGTAAGCTGAGTCTACAATACACATAATATATATTCAGTTTAACAAAACAATGATTATTCTCGAGCATAAACATTAAGTAATTGTATTTATATAGCATGCAAGCAAAGTGCCACAGTGAAATATCAGCATGCTTTTAGAGGCTGTCAAGCAGGGAGCACCCAGGTCTGAGCTTGCACTTTAAAAGGAATCTGTACGTACCACACACCTTGCCCTCAGAACATACTGCTGATACATTAAAAAAACTCGTAACTCCTATTTCAACAATTTTCATGTTTTTACTTGAATTTTAAGGTTCATGTGGTCCTTAACAGGTTTAGCAAGTTTTATGAACTCTAGGGCCCATTAAACCCCTCCACCAGACTACTGTCTGCACTGTAGCTGTCACTCCTGAAAACAGTGATGGTGCTTTATTTACAGAAATTTTTACTTATGGGAAATGCAAAATTTTGATTTGACATCAACAATGTCAGTCTCGGACTGGATTTTCCATCTTTTCAAACTGTGTCATGATATCGCTGCGGGCAAACTTCATCGTAGCCACAGAAGATCTAGATTTTCCCCTCTAACCGATTTGGAAAAACTTGCCCCCAGTGCACTATGCTGTCAGCAGTAGAAGTCAGATCAGATTATCTGAGATAAAATCTATGCCTGACTGCTGGCAGATTGGCCATTATTTATGAATGGAATGAAAGGAAGTATTTCAAATGAGGAGATACAGTACTAGGTTTTAGCTTTGGGCTCATTAATAAATGCTGTTTCTCTGTTTCCTGAGGGGATAAATGTGCCAGAACTGTCTGGATTATTTCGAAAGCTGAAAAAAGGAAGTTTAAACAAACCACGTACACTACACTGGATCTGCCCATGACTAAAGACATTATCAGTTAACTTACAGTCGTTATATATTATTGACTAATAAAACATGTAATCCCACTCTAATTATAATATTTGCCTACAAATACATTTAATATCGCAAATAGAGCTACTTTATCAAAGACAGCTGTTATGTTTGTGGGATAATCTATAATATTAAGGACATAAATATTATTGAAATGTTTTATTTAGTTTTAAACTTGAAATATTGTCATTGACTTACTGAAACCTTAACAGCTAAATAATCAACCTAATGGACTATGGGGAGACGGTCCAAACAAAGACATTGTTATTGCTGAAAAATAGCACCCTTTGCAATCAATACGATATCGATCAGTTTCACAGAATAGCATTTGCAGCATTTTGGTCATTTTTCCCTTAGTCGCTGTTCTTCCCACAAAATTAGTTTAAAGTAGTGCCATACAGGCCGAGCATCTTAATCTGTCTCCACCAGCTGACATCAGTGTTGCTCACACTATTGATCAGACTGAAGCATCGTCTCTGCTCGCTCGTCACAAACAGCTGAATACCCCCCAGCTCTCAGCTGGCACACTCAGATTGTGTTGGCAGCATTGCATTCTGGGAGTTTTGGCTTTCCCCAACAGCTGGGCTCAGTTGATCCGAGACTGAAAATCAGACAGATAATCCCGTGATGCAGCAGGCTGGTGTGAGAATCCCTCCCATCCTCCACAGTGGTCCAGTTCTGCTGTAGAGGACAGCCTTCCTGGCGGCGTCTTTTGTGGTTCCCCTCTCTCCTGAATAATTCAGAACTCATGAATGGAGCGACACTCTGATTGCACAAGCTATCTTTTTCAGGACGAGGATCGGCGCATGGCTGGTGTGCAGGCTCGAAAAGAGGAGGAGAAGAAGAAGGAGAGTCACAAGCAGACCATTCATAAGGTACTGCTCTGATTTGATTCACTCCTGTTGTCTTTGTCTGCCTGGATGTAGAGTTTGAATATGTAGCAAACACACACGGTGCCCTACATCTCAGAGAGTAGATTAAGTGTCATCTGAAACCACTGGTGCCCTTTTGATCCATTGGGTGTTGTATGATTAGTTATTGTTGGTAGAAGAAAGGAAAGCAGTTGGTTCAAAGTACTGGATGGAGCTACATACTATAGCATTCTAAAGCTACCACATACTGAATTGTAGATGTGTTTTACAGTTTTTTATGCATCAGCTGAACGTTTGACTGTATATATTGTGAGTCCAACGCATTTCACAGTATTAGCCACCATCAGACCATTATAATTTTTGGACAATTACGATCTCTTTGGCCCTTAATGGTACTTTTTACCCATCGAAACATATTTAATGAGAATGCTCTAAAATATTTAGATCATACTTGGGATTTGTTAACTTGTTTCTTTCTTCTTATGTGCCCTCTAATGTACTGTATGTGTCTTGTGATTGTTGTGGATATTTGTGTCAGTAAATACACCTTTTGGATGCTGACATGGACTTTCAACTTTTTAAACATGTCCATATGAGTAATCCACAAAACAGTACCTTTTGGGAGTATTGTTAGTGTATAGGGAGGGGTGCACTGTCGTGCACAGTGATACTGTATCTGTAAATTATACTATATTTCTCTAATTGGTCTAAGATGTTCTGTTCTGAGGCATCTGTTTTGCAGTAAATATGTCATAATGTGTGTGTAAGAGTTCATATTGATGGTGCTCCTCCTGCCCAGTCTGCGCTGCAGTGGTGTCTTCTGCTGAAAGATGGTCTCTGTGTAGAACACATTGTCTCTCGGTAACCTAACTCCTGCTCAGCCCTGGTGTTGAGAAAATGTTAAATTCAATGCTGCAGCCAAGAGTTCATAAGGGTGAAGGATTCACTATGATTGATGCTGAGTCATCCCTGCATTAGGGAGTGGCACATTCCATACCTGAGCATATCGAAACTACAGCTTGGCCAGAAAAGAACAATTGGAAGACAGAAAAGGAGCAGGTAATCTTCTCTGTTGCAGGGTGAGGATGTCACTTTTACTGCTGTAACTGCAGTTAAATCAAAATGCTGCGGTAACAAGAGGAAATAAATTGGACCCACACATGCATATACAATTTCAGATATCACCTTAGTGAGGTGTGATATGTGCCAGTAAGCAGTTTTTATACTCTCTTCAACAACATACCTCAGAGACAAGCAAGGTAGGAGGGCTGAGTTTGCCTGTGATCAAGTGGTTCCATTAGCTTAGTATATGCCCTCGGTGTTATTCTCAAGGGAACTGTCACTTAAAACCTCTATTGTCCTCTGTGTGTGTGTGTGTGTGTGTGTGTGTGTGTGTGTGTGGGTGTATGTGTGTTTGCGTTCATCAAGGAGAAGCGGCGTCTGGCAATCCGTAATGCAGCTCAGCAGTGGGAAGGCGTCAGGGCCTGCTTGGTGCTGCCACCAACAAATGGTGCTAAAGAAGAAGTCAGTCCAGAGAACAGCCCTGCCCACAGCCCCGCCCAGACCAACGGCCTCGCACAGGAACCCTCTCCAGATGAACCCAGGTACACAATGCATCAACAGATTGTCACTTAGAGGTTTACTATGTTGACTACTGTCTGTAAACAGTATCACTAGTAAAAATCAAAGTCAACCTGGATTCACTTTGTGAAAGAAAAGATTTGTGTTTTTTCGCTGCTGTATCCATGATTTATGTAAGTGCCTCTTGGATGTGTACTGCTTTTGGTCTGGAACCTGGTTCCTTTTTATAAAGTCCTGACCTGACATCAGATCCAGTCTCTTATCGCAACAGATTTTAACTGTCGACACACCTGGATCATTGCTTTTACCTGAGGAAACACTGGAGAGTTTTGCCCTGGTTGATGCGAGGACACTTGGTCGAGTTTTCTCCCAAGTAAAGCCCACAACCTGCTTTTTAGACCCAATTCCCACACCATTTTTTAAAACATTTTATGGATTCTTTGAGGAACAGCTACTGTACATGGTGAATTGCTCTCTTCAGACAGGTGTCTTCCCGGCCTCCTTTAAAACGGCGGTGGTGAGGCCCCTTCTGAAGAAGAACAATTTAGACCCCAACATTCTTAATAATTATCGACCTGTATCCAACTTACCATTTTTAAGCAAAATTTTAGAAAAGCTGGTTTTTAACCAAGTAAATGATTTTTTAAATACAAATAACACTTTAGAGAAGTATCAGTCTGGTTTTAGGATGAACCACAGTACCGAGACAGCCCTTTTAAAGATTTTAAACAACATCAGGTGCAATTTAGATAACCATAAACTCACAGTCTTGATACTACTGGATCTAACCGCTGCCTTCAATACAGTAGACCATCACATTTTATTAAATAGACTGAGGCACCTGGTCGGCCTCTCTGGTACTGTTTTTAACTGGTTCGTCTCTTACCTTACTGATCAACACTTCTTTGTAAGTATGGATACATGTTCCTCAGGAACCCATGAGTTAAAGTGTGGGGTCCCCCAGGGGTCAATTTTAGGCCCAACTCTTTTTAATCTCTACATGCTTCCTCTGGGGGACGTCATCAGGAGGCACGGCATCAGCTTTCATAGTTATGCTGATGATACGCAACTGTACATCGCCGTGTCTCCTGATGACACAGGGCCAATTGATGCCCTTTTTAACTGCATTTTAGATATAAAGTCATGGATGGCAGCGAATTTCCTGCAGCTCAACCAGGACAAAACAGAGGTTTTAGTCATTGGTCCTGAAGGCCAGAGAGAGAAACTTTTACCAAAACTACAGGATTTTAAACCAACACAATCTGTAAAAAATCTGGGTGTGATTTTTGACTCTGAGCTCTGTTTTATTCCACATATTAAAAACATAACAAAGGCAGGTTTCTACCACCTTAAGAATATAGCCAGAGTCCGCCCGTTTCTCTCTCAGGCCAGCACGGAGGTGCTGATGCATGCTTTTATCTCCTGTAGGTTAGATTATTGTAATGCCCTGCTCTCTGGTCTTCCCAAAAAGAGTATCTCAAATCTACAATTATTACAGAATTCAGCTGCACGAGTGCTGACGAGGACCAGAGGGCGGGGGCACATTACACCAGTTTTAAAATTGCTGCATTGGCTCCCCGTGCGCTTCAGGATCGATTTTAAGGTTCTTTTATTAGTTTTTAAATGTCTTAACGGTCTTGGGCCTTCTTATTTATCTGACCTGCTTTTACCATATCAACCCTCGTGGACCCTGAGGTCCTCCGGCACCGGCCTTTTAACCATACCACAAGATAGGACTAAAACACACGGGGAGGCGGCATTTAATTATTATGGCCCCCGATTGTGGAACAGCCTGCCGGTGAACCTCAGAGCTGCAGAGACTGTTGATGTTTTTAAAAAGAGGCTCAAGACTCATCTTTTTAATCAGTCTTTTAACTGATCTCTTTATTTATCTATTTTAAATTCCTCTTATAACCGATTTATCCATCTATTATCTGTTTTTTATTTATTTTTTATATTCTTACCCTTCCTCTTTTTATGTTCTTATCTCATTTAACCTTTACCTTTTGTTATTTTAGTTAGCCTATAGGTTTTAGTTTTGATGCTTTTTATGTCTCTGTTTTAGATCATTCTTACCTAGCTACTAACTCATTTTTATGAGCTAAATAGTTTTTTGTTGGGTGGGAGGGTTGGGTTTTCTCTTTTCTTTTTGTTTTCTGTTTGGATCTTTGTTGTTTTTAACCTCTGTGAGGCACTTTGTGTTACTGTTGTATGAAAAGTGCCATATAAATACAGTTGATTTGATTTGATTTGATTTGACCTTGCCTGTGTGCTGTGGCCAGAAACACTTCTAGTGGGTCATAAGTGATGACTGAGAAGAATTATTTTTGGGTCTATACATTGTTTTTTTAGGAAAATCCTGCACAGTATTCCCATAAGTCACATTTCTAGAACTAAAAGTGACAATTCCCAGTGGCTAGCAAGATACAAGTGTTTTGTGTGACTTATATGCGTTTTTGCGTAAAAGAGAATTGTGAAGAAATCAGTAAATATTTGTAACATGATCTAAAATCTTCCAATCTGTTTCTACTGCCCATGCTACATGTATACAGTAAGTCAACATGGCTAACACTCTGATAGTCTAATAATTTAGACTTAGTTAAACTTTACAAAATGTTGCTCAGATGGGATCTTGAAAACATGAGGAATAGATTGATGTTGGGTTCAGATTTCAGGAGGTTTGATTTGCCATGCAGTACACTGAGTCTCCTCTCCTGACAATTGGATGGGTAATCTGATCTAGGGCCTTAGTACTGATGTTGAACATGGAATATCTGTTGAAGATGAGCAATTTTCAGATAAAATTGTAACACTTCAAAGCTGTTGGCAGACTCATCTGGGACACCCTGATCATTTTAAACCAATATCATGTTTGCAAAGATCCAGACAATTGCTCTCTGAATGAGAGACATATCAACAAGGTACAAGTAGGGAGATAACATTTAAGATGACAACAGTTAGTAGACATCAAGATGGTGTAGCCATTTAATTTGATTGACAGCTGAGTTTAAGGAAGGGAAATGTGTCTTTCAATGTAAGGTTTTGTGAGAGCCAGAAGCATGCGTGAGGGTGAGATTAGTAACTAATCATAATAATTTGTACTGTGTATGATGCTGTTAGTTTTAATCCTGTAATAAGAGAGCAGAGTCTATAAAATTTCTTCTTATGTGTGTGACTCAGCTAATTTAAAAGAGAAAAAAATTCTAGTCTGTGCATGGCTTTACTGCTTTTCCTTCATCTGAGAGGGTTCTGAAAAGAATTGTTTGCTCAGTTGCTGAGTTTGTTTGTCTTGTTTTGTTTTATCAGACGGGTAAGTCCAGGTTCAGGACCAGAGCGACCATCAGGGGGAACAGAGAGCAGACTCCGCACCAACAGCCGTCCAAACAGCCCACGAGATCCAAAGTAAGACAAAAGTCCATATGTTTGGAAACCAAATCTGACATGTATGTCTACGAAAAATCCAAAATAAGCACCTGCCTGGGCTCTTAAATGTCAACAAAGATTTGTTGCTAGATTAGTAAAGTTGCTTGTATTGACCAGTATCTTTGTGAGATACAAACTGTTTGCAGATTGTGTGGGTTCTGTTGAAGTCCATGATGATTGATAGATTGACTGGTGTATTCTGAAATTGAGTAAAGGCTCACTTCACTCAAAATGCAATAAATGCATCTAACCATGTGATATCTGACCATCCAGAAAGCTCTTGTTTTATTTCTTGGGTGTTTTTAGAAATCTGCCATTGTAACACCTCTGTTATATCACTAGAATGGAATTTTGCTTCATGCAGTGTTCAATAAAGTAACATTGAATGTGGTGTACAGACAGGCTCATACAGACCAATAACAAAGCTAACTTTGTCATTAATGAGAGAAGGTCACTGAGCTGTATTTAGCCATTAACTTAAACTCCGAAATCTGCAAAAACATATAGTTGCAGTGCACTGTATGATATACCAAGTGCTGTCATCGACATGAGGAATGCTACCTGGCGCACTATCATACTTATTAGTTTCAGTTGAGCCTATCTAATACCATCTTTTGCATGAGGTCCAGTCTTTTCATCCTCCCAAGAGTCATCCATATCTATCTGTTAGATTGGAGTTTCTCAATGCACCAGGTAGAATTTAAACTATCTCAAAAGTCTTCTTTTTTAATATTGTAATCTTTAGTTAATAAATATTTGTCATATGTATGCTCACAATGTACCTGTTTGAAAGAACGCCCATCTAGACAGGTGGTTGGCTGCTCCTGCCCAACTGACCTCCTTGTCATTGATACTTTCTATGTGTGTTTCTAGCAGTTGCACTGTCCTTTTTTCTTTTCTAGTGGGTTGGCAGAATAGTCTAAATAGAACATGTAGAGACATAATTCCGGTTACAGATTTGATACCTGCAACAGCTCGTGGATCAGACCTGTCTTGAAATATTCTTGAGCAACAAAGTGACTTGCTTATTCCAGGGGTGTGGGTCTTGGCTGCTCATAAGCTCTGTGAGCTCTCTAGTAAAATCAGTAAATGCATGTTTTAGATGTCTGAGGACAGTTTTCTTGTTTTACTGTTTATAACATGTTGCTGGAAGCGCTCTAACTCAATAGTCTGTGCTAAGTTTAATGTGAGCATAGGGCTCTGATATACTCTCCTGCACAGAGTGTGATCCAGGTCTGGACAAGTTATGAGGGAGAGGGCTGAGATGAAAGTGGGGTCTGTGTAAGGGACTATTATTACATGTTTCAAAGACGGCTTTTCCTTCCTGCACCAGGATATGAAAATGGCCCCGAAGCGCAATCCCTCAATGGCAATGGCTTTCCTTTACAGCGTCTATTATAACTTCAGTCATGTGGCTTAAGAGGTTATGGTGACGAACAGGACTCACGCGCTCAAATCCACTACATTCCTTTAAGATGGGACTTTGGCTTGGATTTAATCACAAAAAATCAAAGGCCTTTACAGACCCTGGTACCACTAGTAACTTGAAAGAGAAGCAAAATCTGTGACTAAAAGAGTAAAATCTTGAAATACCTGGGAATAGGTACAGTAGGTGGGAAATTTAAAGGTTGTTTCATTAAACAGTGTGTGGGTTTACTGAAGGGTTATAATGCCTACACAGTGTAGCTCAGATTACCTCAGATAGTACTAGATGCTGACGAAAATTACATCATCCTCCCCAATGTCGAGGGAAGGGGGCAGATGATGGATGAACCTGTCTCTGTTTTCTGAGGCCTGTGATTCAACACTCTTGCCTCACTAGTGCATGACATCACGGATCAGGTCCATGGGGGTGTGAATTTCCAGAATTCCGTCAGCAGGAGGGCTTTATTCTTTGGCACCGCGAAGAGACAGTGTATAGTTTGTTGCATGTCATCTATAATCCTGCTTCTCCATATTCTCAACAGAGTCTTGGTTTCCCATTTAGGTCAGGGGTTGGACCTGGCACATCCACACATCTGGATCTGCTCAGTGACAGCCTGGGGAGTAGGGCAATCTCTCGGTGCATGTGTGTGTTTTTTTCCTGAGTAACAAACTGGGGACTTTTCTCTATTTCTTAAATTCCCAGCCCACTGCTGAGAAATATCATCTCATTTAGAGTGAAACACAACATTAATTGATTACGTTTAGTAAGGTCAAAACAATGTAAAAGATTATTCTCAAGTTCTGAAAAAATTGTAAGAATTCTGATATAAATTACCAGTTGCATTTAACACACGGCGACCTCTTTCTTATGATTAGATCTGTTGCTGTGTGTTGCTGTTACTCATTCAGGATTTTTAAATAATTGTAGCCTTCACTATTGCTGCATTTTCAGTGCTCACAATTACATTGTCAAATGTCCAGTGTCCATTTTTGTTAGCATTCACTATGGTAAACAAAATGTTTTGTGTGTCACAAAAGGTTAAAAATAGTTGAATATATATATATATATGACTACACTGCTTCAAAATGTAGTTGAATGTGATGACAGTAGGAAAAAAGATGACAGTATGATGTCATCTCTGGTTTGCATTAGCATCCCAGTTTGGTGACAAATTAGAATGAGGTTGAAGTGAGTGTTGACAGCACATTTAACATGATTGTGTCAGTGTGTTTCTACAATAAGTTATGGGACAATAGCTTATGCCAACATGAATCAGGCCCACGTTTATTCTGATGGGAACGATTTAAGATTTATTTGGTCTCTTTCCCCCTGAGAAATGGGATGAGGGGTGCATGGCAGTGGAAGAGTTATTATTACACAGAAATCCAATAGTGGTGTTGGTCACCATGTGGGGTGGTGGAAAGGCATTTGTACTTTTCATGCATTCATTTAATTAAGAGTTGTGGTGAGACTCTGAACAGGTGGTTTCACGGACACATACATGAATTATCTTCACAATGGTGAGAAAGAAGTTTGGCAGACTCCCCAATTGAAACCTTAAATCCAAAGCCACTGCACACCATGCAAACACACTTTACAGTAAGAGTCTGCAGGACTCAGCAATAAGTCTAACAAGCCTAACATCTGCACTGCACCAGTAACTGCCTCTTGAACAATTTGTTTTCACTTTTTAATGTTGATATGATGAAATGCGCTTTTAAAATGGCTGCTCAGAGAGTAATGTTTCATACCCGTCACCACCACACAGAAATGCTTTGTGGTAGTGATGTGTGTGAAACATAACTCTCTGAGCAAGCAATTGGAGACATGTGTATGTTACAAGCCATGTCTTTGGGAGGATTAAGTTGTTGAGAGATGACAGATGTCCTTTTAAAAACTCTTGTAGGATTAAGTGAGATAGCCCTAATTGAATTAGATTCAAAGTCTAATAGGCCAGAGCAGGATCCATGTAATTGTGACAGACTCTTCATTCGGTCTTCCCCTCCTTGTTCGCTTCATCTCTCAGCGTTAGTTGCTGGGTTCATGTCACAAGGGGATTTAGGGCCACCTGGCAGCCTTTCAGCTGTGATTATGGGGGAACAATACATGACACAGTGCAGAGTGTGTTGGTGGCACACTTCCAGGCACGCAGAAGTTACTCTCATTCTTTACTTGACTTATCTACATGTTACGCTCCATCTCCTGCACCACTCTCCATGTCCTCCTGATTTACTGCCTTTGGCAATCTTACATCTCAGAGGCTTGGCGTATCCTTATGATTAAATTGCCTTTCAGTGTCCGTCGCCACCCTGTCTATTGCTGGCCAAGTCACTTGGACTTTGCAACTTCAAAGGAAAACTTTGGTATTTTTCAACCTGAACCCTATTTTCCCATGATTATGTGTCTAAATGACTCATGGGAACAATCATTTTTTACATTGGTCCAGTATTAAGAGAGAGTGCTGCAGCCAGCAGCCATGAAATGTGCTGCATTGTAACCACTTGGGGCTTGTTTTTGCTACTGACATACTCAGATTGTTATTGTAAGTGTCTGACAACATTATGTAAAGGACCCTACAGATAAATACGTTTAATATTACCTTTCGCTTTATCCAGTCTGTTTGTTCTGTCTTCCTGCAACAACTCAACTCGAAAGACTTTAGAACGAGACTTGATTAGACACAGTAACAAATTGGATCAAGCCAAACGTAAAGAAAAAAAGTTTTATTTCTTTGTCAGGCACTTACAATAACAATCTGAGCCTGTCAGTGACAAAAACAACTGCTTTTAGTGGACGTACATTGATGGTATACATTTGCCTGGAGTGGTTACATTGCAGCCTGTTTCATGGCTGTCAGCTGCAACACACTTTTAGTCACTGGGACTCAAAAACAATGAAAAAATAGGGTCCATGTTAAAAAATACTAAAGTTTCTCTTCAACCTTTGTTAACTGCAGATTTCATTTTCTGGAAACAAGCATTTATATTCTTAAACTTGCTTTTGTGTCTGCCCTTATTGCAAGAATCCACTATTTGGAGGCCTCGTCACTTCTGTCAATGCCCATGACAAATCTAGATGTTAGTAGTGTAACAAGGAACCAGAGTAATATTGACCTTTCGTGTTGTTCAGGGTGTCCTCCTGTCAACCTGTTTATAGACATGTGTTTTGAAATGTTGGTCCTCAGGGGGAAAAACTTTGTAAGCCATCAGGGGATTATTTTAGTTGGAGTTTGGCTGTTGGCCACTCCGAAATACTGACAGCAAGGATGTCTTTGCCACGCCATATCCACTTCTCTTGATATATCCGTGGCATCCCCCCATATTCTCTCATGACCATCCCTTGACATTTGATTAACAATGGCTTTCATACAGGGTGCATGAAGGATCACGTTAGTTAGGTATCATGTAAGAGTAATGTCCCTGGACACAAATATGATGATTGAGTGGGATATTCCCTGTCAGCCACTGTTTTATTGGTTCAGGCTGTATGACACGATTAATCCGGATGTTGTGTTTACTGGCAAGTATATTCTGTGCTGTTTTTGTCAGGCTGTAGCTCTCCCAAAGGCTGCTTAAAACGAGCTAAACTGATTAAACTGACTCAGCAGCCTCAGAGAAGACTTTGAGAGACGTCACACTGTTTACTCATGTAGACACTTAAAGGCAGACCACACATGCACAGAGAGTTTCCCAAAGGCCTAACAGCCATGGTCGAAACTGATCCTGCACTTTGCCATCTCCTGAGGCACCTGACCATTCACCTGACTTTTACACAAGAATGAATCAGTTAAAGTGACTCAAGGCCAAAGTATCACCCATGAGAACCTGATGTCAGTGTTGATTCACGTTCTTCCTCCAGCAGTTGACACAAGGTGGAATACACTATGATACTGGTTGGTGACCATATGTCAACCATTCTCACTGTCTTCACTTTTTAGAACTTCATACAACTTCTGTTTCTCAGTTGGGAAGATTTTCTGCTTTTTTGTCTTCTGTGACAGTAATTGGAATAACTTTGTTCTTGTTCTAGACCAAAGACTCGCAAATTAATCATCTACAGATTAATAGCTAAGGAAATAATCCCAAATTGCGGTCTTGATTAACAGTGATATATAAAATGATTTAAATATGCTTGGGTAGAGTTTTGTATACTGTAACCAAAAGCTTTAACGTAATATGTTTTATTTTCAGACTCATTGATGCTTGGGTGCTTGACCCTAATTATTACTTATTTATGCACATTTTTAAGCATTTTTAAGGTGAACGTCTCAACTATTTTAAGAAGCACTGTTTGTTGTTAATTTATATTTGTTGTCTTATTGGTAATGTGTTGTGTATTGACGTTTTTACACAAATGAAGTACCTGACAGATACATAAAGTTGTTATGCCTCCGTGAAAGCCGTGGCCAGAGGCAGTATGTTTTCAGGTTGTCTGTCCATCCTTCCCTTCGTCCATGACGAACAGAAGAATGTGACCTTGCATCTGTCTCATTCTTGTAAATGCTTCAGAGGGAAGATGTGTGTGAAGCATCCATGTTTTCACATGGTGAAACATCTGGTAATCATAGATTTTGATTTTGATTCCATTTTCATTTCCTTCCCTTAAAGCTTTGTAAATACGAATTTATTTAGATAGGACAAAAAAAAAGAAAATTATGAGAGAATATTCATCATCTCATACTGTGAACATCAGTATGTGCAGAGATAGCTTTTGTTTATATTGAAAAGTAGATCTCTCTCTCTATCACTGCTCTGTTCTCTTTTCTCTTGTCTCCCAATCTACTTTATCATGTCTCTCATTTTGAAGAGTGCTTTAAATAATCCAGTTGGGTTGTTTGTCTGATTCTTCAAATCTTTGATCCTCTTTTTGCTGCTCAGTTATGAGAGGAAACTGGTGCAGAGAGGAGTCACCTCTGGGGGATCAGTCTTACTGTGCCTGCAACAAAGGTGGCCTTTTCAAAGAAGCTTGAGTTACAGTACAGCTTTATTTTCTTTCCTTATGTATGTACTGCTCTGTCTACAGTATGTCTGCTGTCCTTCTCCTTTTCTGTCCCTGAGTTTCTCTCTATCGTTTCTCTCACACTTCTCAAACACAAACTTTCTAAAAATCGTTTTCAACAAGATCCTTGGATTAGAGATCTGTAATCAAAGGATTAGTCTTTTAACTACTATGGCTTTCTGTTGCAGCGAGATTGGGAGGGTGTGAAATATGAATAGGGGTGATTAGTTTGTTGGCGGGCTGAACTCAAAATAATCAGTGTTGAGTAGCATGCAGCCAGTAGCCATCTGATGCCCTGCTATGCTGAAAAGTCCCCTGAGTGTCAGCAGACCCAGAGGGCTGAGCGCATGGGCTTGGGCAGGGAGATTATGTCTCCTTGAGACTCGCCCAGATTCTCTACTCTCACGACTCTCTTATCAGGGAAGGGCACTTCAACTGTCGTATAGGAGAAAAGAGAGCAATTAGGGAAGACAAATAGGACATTGACTAGACCGCTGGGTGTTCTGTAGTGCTGTTGCTTTTTCCTTCTTTTAGCATAGTGCTTGCTTTTTTAAACAAATGTGAGCAAAGCACTTTTGGCCCAAGGATATTTTTTACAAGTTTCACAAGGCAACAAATTCTGTGCATTCAGCAAATCAAGACGGGTTTACAAAGTGTGTTTTTTGTGTGTATATATCTTGCAGGCTTGTGGAGGCAGGGAGCGGCAGTGTTCAGAGCTTGTCCCTCTCTGACAGTCACCTGGCAGAGCTGGATGGAGACACCCTGCGTTTATTTGGACCTGGGGCCCTGGAGGCCCTGGAGAGGGGCTGGGGAGTTCAGACCGCTGGTGCTGTCACTGTAATAACCTTCCGTTACATCAACTTTGACGCCATTGTACCAACACTGCCGCGAATAAGGGTCAAGTTCCCCAATCTGTCGGTGAGGATACTAGCCACATACCATAATAAGCCATGGGATAATGTTGTCAGGAAGAAACAAAAATACATTTGTCATTTTATCTTCAGATGTGGTTATAATAAATGCTGCATGTCATCTAACACCAAACCGCCATGACTTGACATGACAAAGAGTAAGGATTTTGGAGATGTTGGCTGGTGGAACCTGCACTCTCACAAACAAATAGTCCTTGTTTGTCATTAACTTTGGCATATATCTGCTGAGCCATTTCTTATATTAGGCAATGGATCTTATTGGACTAGAACACAACATTAACCCAATGTACAAATGATTCCCAAGCTAATCTCACATCATCTGAACTTGGCAGGTAACTAAAGGTGCTGGATATTAAGTTGTGGTCATTCTGAACCTCCTGCAAAACCATCAGTTACTTCTTAGTAGACAGTTTTGGGGCAGAACTACTCCCAACCTAATTTGTCATAATTAGAAAGCATGAGTGCTATGGTAAAGAGAGCACTGATTTCAAGGGGAAACTGTCACACTGTCAACAAGAAAGTAAAACTTTGCTCATGTAACCTACAGTATATTTAGATGGACATTGTCATCCAAAGCCCCTACAGTTTCTTGAAACCATGTTTAAAATCCCCAAGGCGAATGAGCAATGAACAACAAAGTGAGTTAAAGGCATGAACAACAGTAACTATATAGGTCTCCCTCTCTGAAACCAACTTACTACTTTTTCTGCAGCACCTGATCTTCTTGGAAACCAACATCAGCCGTCTGCCCCAGCTGGCGGCTCTGACTCAGGTGAGGCGTCTGGACCAGCTGACCATCCACCCAGGGGGCAACCCTGTGGTCAGTCTGGCTCTGTGGCGCTCCTTTGTCATCTACCGCCTCAACCACTTCAACCTGCAAAGGATCAACGGCCAGGAGGTGAGGGTTTTAATGCATTCCTCCTGCTGCCTTTGTAAGACACAAATATATTAACCAATAAGACATTAGATGTATTCTCTCTTATGTACAGTAAAATAGAATTTCTTTATTATGCCATTTTAGAAAGAAAATACTGTAAATAAGCAAATTTGAAGGTCAAAGGAATGGTTTGAGTTTTCGGGAACAACACTTGGCTTTCTGATGGACAATTAGATGGGAAGATTGATTCCACTCTCATTTTTATCTGTTAAGTGTAAGGCTACTTTCAGCAGCCTGTTAGCTTAGCTTTATGCAAGGACTGGAAACAGGAGGAAACAGCTAGCCTGGCTCTGTGCAGCATCTCTGAAGATCACTAATTAACATGTTATATCTTGTTTGTTTAATCTGTGCAAAATGTCAAACTCTTCTCCTATGACTCCACACCAGAAAGAAAATAAGCCTATTTCTCAAAATGTCAAATTTGTACTTTGCTGTTGCCATGGCCCATGTCTCCTGGAATGATCAACAGTACCTGAGGATTTTGCCTCTGAATTAGAACTCTTTGAAGACCTTACTTTATGAGTGATCTTTAAATTAGTTTATACCTGCTGGTTCTTGTTTATCACCTTGTTTTTATTGTGTCAGCTGTCGATTTTAATGCCAAATCTCAACCAGCATCTGGGACTGTAACTTTGAACTTGTAAATGGTATAACTCATGACAAAGCGGTAATTCTTACTTTTATCTTTTCAGGGTTTAAAGACAGACAAGATGCTGTATGTGTAAATTCTGGTTTGTGTGTCTACCTTAGGTTACTATGAATGATGTGATCGCTGCAGAGCGTGTGTTTGGGACACTGGGTCATATAGCAGCCACTGAAACTCCACGTTGCCGGCTCCTCCTGCTGCTAGAGGAGTCCAGGTGAGAACTTGATCTCGGACAATTAACCACAGCATAACATTAACTCCAATTTAATGACAGATGTGTGCTGTGTCTTGGACTGCATGTTGTGCGTTTAAATAAGAATGTGTGGATGCTTCCGTGTGTATATGCGTGAGTTACAGTGGGTAACTGTGTAGGCTATTGTACATGTGCGTGCATGCTTGTGTGCAGCGTTTTGAGTGTATACATTTGTGTGTGTGTGTGTGTGTGCATGTTTGTGTTAGACAGCGAGACAGAGCCTGGCACCAAGGAGCCAGGGGAATTAGACTGTGTCTCAGGGTAAGGGTGGGTACTTGGCACTTCCACACAAACATTCTTCTCTCTCCCTAGCCAAAAGCTCTAAAGGTCTGTCACTCTGGGTTAATAAAAAACATCCTTGCAAAGCAAAGATCTGATGAATTTGTCACGCACAAGAAAGTTTTTCCAAAGGGTTACATTGGTTGGTCATGGGTAGCCTAGACTGTAAAAGGTCAAAAATAAAGCTGCATCACAGTGTTACTGTTCTTTCAAAGAGTATCATATGATCAGTACTGCCAAAACACTTGAACTGGAAATGAAACTTATCTGTGAAAGCCAGACTCTAATACTAAGTTGTTGGGGTTTTTTAGCAAAGTTTCACGTGTTTGGGAAGTACTGAGCATACAGCTGGATAAATGGGACTTTGATTATACTACATGAGTTGTGTGAGAGTTTGTAAATGTATGTTTTGATATAGTTTTGCTGTTGAAAATGTGATCTAAAATATTTTTGCCTTTTTCTTTGGAGTCATGCGAGAAAAATACAAATACAAGGTATTGTATTTCATACTTCACAAATACAAGGTAACACAGCATGACTAACTGATATACAAATGGTCATTTTGTGGGTCAAGTATTTCTTTATTAAAACCTAACATGTTATATCTTGAGCAGTGTAGCAGTGTCAGAGCCTAATAATGAATTTGAGCTGCTTCAGTGTCCTCCTTTGCCCTTTCAGAATGATGCTGGAAATAAACTAGTAAACTTTAAGACAGTTGACTCTGTTTTGGATAGGTAATACACAGCAGCCCAAGGCCAAAGATTATTTTTGCATCAGCACTGAAATCTTAATCACTGCATGCGGAATGATTACCCCTGTAGTCAATAAATCCATTTGTTTCACTAAATGCTGTTAAATGTGTCCTCTCATCTTTCACAAACCTCCTGCTGTAGACTGTGGCTCATATAAAGTGTGCTGTCTGGATTGAAAATACTGGAAAGGGAAATGAAATAACCATTATAACATCTGCAGAAAACACAATGAATAGAGTTTAAGTTTCATGTTCCCACAAAGCTCTTGTGTTGCTCAGTGGGTTGTGAGGTTTGCATGAAGCATAGGTGAATGTGTCGAGGTAGGCCCAAACATTCACAGGTTTTCCCAGAAGGATCCTAATACTGCAGGATGCTTTGGATGTTATGTCACGTCGTTGAAATTAAGGCTTTTGCTCATGTAAATGTGTATCACAGTTATTCTTGTCAAGTACCACTTTAAAGTAACACTTCACCCTCCAAATGACCATTTGTATATCACTTACTTATGTGTTTTATTGAATTTGTGAAGAAAAGTTTGATTTTCTTGCATGCCTCATTGATCCTGTTATATGCTCAGTACTTCCCAAACAAACAGTCTTTGTGATGGGGAACTGAACTGAGAGTAAAACTTATCTATGCTCTTTTTAAAACCAGACTTATTGACAAAAACAGCAATATACCTCACTGAACACAGGAGCTGCTGGTCTACCACTGCCTTGATCACCTAGTTTGTGTTAAAGGGGTAGTTTTGATCCACCAAATTCACACAAGGCAGTTCCGTTAATATTCATTATGCTGCAAGACACAGTCTTGACGAGTCTACTAAACTAATATTTGAAAGAATTTAGTTAGATTAGATGTTATAGGGTTGTGTAGGTCAAAGCAATACTTCACCCACCAACATTGTAACATTGAATTTGTGAAGAAAACTTTGTTTTTCTTACATGCCTTTGATTAATAAAGAATCCAAAAACCAAAAAAAAAGTAAAGTGAAAGAAAGACCTGAAGCATTTTTGTAAAATCAGAAATATATAGGTTGTTAGGGTTTGAGTTCAACCTCAATTGACCCTTGACCTTGTCCTCTTGTTGAGAACAAGGAGAGTTCACCTTCTCTACTCAACACATTTCATCTAAAGGAGTCTCACCAAAGGGAAGAAAAAAAACATTTTAGCGTGGAGCCAAATGCAACCACTGTAATGCCTAATGCTCTTGTTGCATAAAAACCTTCATTCATTCATCTTCTAACCGCTTATCCTCTTGAGGGTCACGGGGGGGCTGGAGCATATCCCAGCTGACAGGCAGGGTACACCCTGGACAGGTCGCCAGACTATCGCAGGGCTGACACATAGAGACAAACAACCATTCACGCTCACATTCACATCTACGGACAATTTAGAGTTATCAATTAACCTAGTCCCCAATCTGCATGTCTTTGGACATGGAGAGAACCCATGCTGACACGGGGAGAACATGCAAACTTCGCACAGAAGGGCTCCCACACCCGAGATCGAACCGGCAACCCTCTTGCTGTGAGGCGACAGTGCTAACCACCACACCACTGTGCCACCCATAAAAACCTTGTATCTGACAAATAAACAAGGACATTGCACAAGACCTTTAAATAGATTTCATTGGCTGTGTTTGTAAATCTGAGTCAGCAACTAAGGTATGTTAACTTTTGGCTCAAACCCAAAATGGAAAAAATGAACTCTACAAGTAGTCATACAAGGTTTCACACGTTAGATGTTCCTTGCACAAGAGAACAAGAGTTGATCTTTGATACAATCTGATCGTAACTGCTCTTCACTTAAGAGATATTTACAGTCAATTACACTCCATTAACAAATTTGTTTGACGTGCACACAACACTTACTTACCTGATGCTCACATGATTCTCTCTGACAGTAACATGCACACACTCACATGAACACATACACATAGGTCTACCTTTCTTAAGCTTGTTTTGCCTTGTTAGTCTGCGTGAAGTGTGACTGACACACACTTGTGGGTTTTGGCATACACACACGCATACACACACACTTTACAAACTTATCATATATGGAATTTTTGCCTCCAGCATCCTCTGAAAAGACTACTTCAGCATCCTGGCACTGGTCTGTGGAACATGTTTGTGCAGTAGTGAAACACAGAGATTTCATACTGATAGACAGCAACATTTGATGTAGTTTACATCACTCGACAGTCCTCTACTGTTTTTTACCTCGGTGTCACTCAGTTTTTGCCACTGTTTCTCCCCAGGTGTGTGTGTTTCTCACCTTTTTTTCTCTTTACCCTGAAGGAAGCGTCAGCTGCAGTTCCTGTTGGAGGGCCGAGGCCGGCGAGCAGGACTGAGTCCAGAGGAGCTGCGAGACAATGGGAAGCTCCTGGGAGAGAGCCTGAGCAGAGCTCTGTTCAACTACCCAAGCAGAGACTGCAGTGCAGAGAGCCCTGAGGTCAGCTCTTTTTTTTTCCATTTTTTTTTTCCTTACATTTTTTATTTACAGTTGCCTAAGGGTTTGAGAGACTGCAACAACTCTTGTACGTAACTGAAAAGTTAGTGAAAACTAGCATATCAATCCATTTGTTTACCATTTGCCAACAGGGCCTTGTTGACTTGTAGACATACCTAACCCTCATTTTTGCAGTAAATCTAGTTGAGTGTTCACAAAGAAGTTAGAAGCCACCATATCAAAATAATGCTTTACCAAACTCAAAGTATTTCCATGTTAAAGGCATCAATATATGCCATCGTAAATCTAGTGCACCACCAGACAGAAATCAACACTTGCCATCCACCCTGTATAATTGGTAAGTCAGTGTGTGCATGTGACATAAGTTATTATGTGGGCAGCTGCCATTGCAGATGTTTTGCTGAATTCACTCTTCCAACACCACATCTGATTTTACATTCTGTGCTATTGTACTGTGGTTTAAAAACAATGCTGTTCTCCAGGTCCCAAACATAACTCAATCCTTATTTCCAATACAATAAAGAAAGAAGGAGGATTTGGAATAACAGCCCGCTCAGTAATTGCTAAGGTTTGTTGTAACAACAAACAGTATCAAGAATTTTAAGCAGTATATCACAGCATTTCAGCTATTATGGCCTCTAATGGCCAGGAGCAGAAATGCATTCTTAGTTCAACCTCTCTTCCACCAGGATGGTATGCAGTGGAGCATTTGAGGTTGTGTTTGTGCAGATCAGGCACTGCAGTACAGTATTGCTCCTTGTTTTGGGGTGACATTTCTCTTGCTTCTCTGCCTCCTGATCAGATCCTCTCTTTTATTTTTATAGCCTGCTTCCACCAAAGTGTGGGTACAGATTTGAATCTACATTAAAGTACAACTTTTATTCAATCAGTGGGTTAGGCTGGCATTACAGAGCTCAAAATACCTTTGTCTGTGTGTGTGTGCACTGGTGCGTATACACAAAATTTAAGAGGCACTGGAATGTTGCACCTAAAATTTCTATCACTACTGCACCATAGGTGCATTTGTATATTTGCACTTCTGCTGCATTCAGATCCAATCAAAAGAAATCAAGAATTGACCGCTGCAACATTTTTTTTTAAATGATAGTTAAAATGTGAGAAAATCATCAGTGTGTTATACATTATTGTAATTTTGAGCTGACTGTCCCTTTTCTCAAACTTTGTACTGTAAAATAACTTCAAAATTTACATGTTCATAGTCAGGGTCACATTGGAAATTTCAGTAAACCACTAAAGAAAGACATTCATTAATTTAATATATGAGAGTTTAAGAATAAGGACATTTTTAGTGTGTACCAATATCATTTGAGCTGACTTACAGTATTGTACAGTATTGTGCACTGAAACAAGTTGTGCTGGTGTTGTCAGGACCATTTTGAGCAGAAATCCATCGCTCTCCTCAGCGAACCAATTATGAAAACAGTTTTTATCATATGAGGACTTCTTTGGTGACATCACATATTCAACATAAATTGTGTAAATGTATTATTGTAATGTATCTTCTTCTATTTTGGCCACTTCTAGTACCTGTATAAAAGCTTGAATAGTCACAATCAAAGTCCAAGCAGCAGCTGGCTTAACTGCAGTCGCTGCTGCTGTCCTGTCTGTTCTTGCACTGTCAGTGCTCTCTTTTCGCACCACATTATAATGAAGTCATAAGTTTGCTTTTCATTGTGTGTGAATATGGACGTGTGGTGTAAGAGTTGGCAGCCCTGCACAACTTGATAATTTCTGTACCAAGTTACATGCACTGGTTCTTCTAGAGCTGAAATTATGTGCACAGCTTATATTTTACATGCATGTGGTATCTTGAGCCCTGCATTATTTTAACTTTTAATTTAATAGCATAATAAAAACCAATACCAGCAATGAATGAATGCCACTAATAAGTAGTGTCTGTGTAGCCAAAGCCTGATGTAGCTAATTCTTCTGTGGCATACAGAGCTCCTAAACTGTCGACATATATGGGCCAAATTGTTGTATGATAATGACATAATCTATCATTGCCATGAAGAGATATGAAAGAGAGCGAGAGAGTAAAAAGCTTATGAACATACACCCATCAGCCAAAACATTAAAACCACTGGCAGGTGAAGTAAATAATATTGATCATCTTGTTACAGTGCAATATTCCATTGGGAAACCTTGGGTCCTGGCATTCATGTAGATGCTACCTGAAGCGCTCCACCCACCCCTAGTGAACCCCCTTATGGCAATGGCACTTGTCGGTGGCAGTGACCCCCCCCCAGCAGGACAGTGCACCATGTCACAGCACAAAAACTGCTCAGGAATGACCAAAGGAATGGGACAAAGAGCTCAACGTGTTGACCTGGCCTCCAAATACCCCAGATCCCAATCTCATCGAACATTTGAGGGACGTGCTAGTACCCCAGAGGCACCCCAGATCCATGGTGGGTCCTCCTTGGACCAGACTTGGCTCTGACCTGTCAAGGCATGAACACAGGACCTTTGGGTGGTGTCCTATAGTGTCTGGCACCAACACGTTGGCTTCAGATCTTTTGGGTCCTGTTGGTTGTGAGGTGGGGTACGATACCAATGAAAATATCATGGTTCTGAGTAGTATCACGATACCACAGCGAAAATGAGACAGATGTGCCTTTTGTCATTTCTAAAAAGATAAATCACTTTTCTATAATACATCAATGATATTTCAATGGAATAAATTACTTATTGACTTATTCATACCTCAAAAACAGCATCAGTGAGTGATTAACATGGGGGGGGATGAAAATAAAATAAATAAATGAAATAAGAATCAACGAGCCACCCTCCTCCCCTTCATAAGTAAAGAACAGTCCCTAAAGTGCGGTGAGGTTTGTGGGCCATGAACGGCTCGTTTCTCCTCTGACACGTCACATACCTGTGTTCGGCTGGCTCGGCTGTTCAGGCAGTCACACGCCAAGAAGAGGATATTATTGGAGCCAGCTCCTCCGTCTCTGTTGCAGGTCTCTGTCATGTTCCTCGGGCCACTCCTGAACAGTTTTTGTGGTGTGGCATGGTGCATTGTCCTGCTGGGGGGCCAATGCTACTGGGGAGTGCCGCTGCCATAAGAGGAGGGTACCTGGTCTGCACTGGTGTTTAGGTGGGTGGAGTGCGGCTGGTGGCAAACACATCAATGTCAGAACCCAAGGTCTCCCAACAGAACATTGCATTGTAACAAGATGATCAATGTTGTTCACGGCACCTGTCAGTGGTTTTAATGTTTTGGCTGATCGGTGTATAATCAGAAATGTTTTCTTTTTTTTTTCTGTTAAAATTAGTTTCATCTCAAGTTAGCAAGAGTGAAGCAGTTTGATGATATCAATTATTCCACATCTGTCTTACACATAAGTTCAGGACAGGAATTTTAAAAGTTACAGCTGACTTTGAAAGCATGTTTTGGCTGCTGAATTGAAAATAAGCATTTTGGATATCACTGCTCTATGGATGCCTTCTGTATGTCTCATTTTGCTTACAAAATAGTATGGGTGTTTTTGGACATTGTTAAAGTTAAGTATCCTGCTTTAGCAACTATCCTAAAAATGTAATGAGCGCATTTTAAAAAAAATCTAGAGCCACATTGTTTTTGTCAGTCACAGTACCTTTGCCACGTTTTACCTTTTCCTAATGTTTATTTCCTGCCATTGAACTTCACCTTATTAATGTACTCATAACAACTGAATCAACATGGATAATATTCTCTGATTTTCCTCACAGGAGGGCACTGTAGAGTCATCGGAGCGTGCTGCCATGGTAGAGCACTACCTCCAGGAGTTGGTCCAAAGGGCATCAGACACCAATCTGAAGGGTGAGGCTCTGCACAAGCTCTGGCCCTCCATGTTTGCAGAAATGGTGAGGGACTGTGTGTTGGAGATGAGGGACCGAGCGGCCTTTCGCCAAGCCAGCCTTGCGAAGCTGTCTGAGACCAAGTGAAGAGGACCAAAGGTTCAGTCTTAGACTACAAACATACACACACATGTGGACACAGCTTTCCTGGGCGCCTGCAGGGCTTCATCTCAAACTCCATTTATAGCACATCATCACTTAGTGACTTATCACTGGCTGTCAGTTAATAAAATCTTTGGAAACTGAAGGGTGTATTTCCCTAGAGGCTCTTTAAGATGGATGTAGACTGTTTTAAAGATGTCTGAAGAAACCACATCGACAAATGCATCTTGATTGAATGTAGATTTTCACTGAAAACACTGATTCTTCAATGCTTGGAGCTGTAACATACTTGAAGAAAGTTAAAGGGACGTATTGACTCACAGTGCATTGTGGTCCCTACGGAGCATCCTCTGCACTTTAAACGCTTTCTGAATGACCCCTCACCACCATCACTGTCATCAGCTGAAAATGACCGGTGTCTCTTTTGTCGAGACTAGAATGATTTTTCTGTGTCTTAAATAATGTCTCATGCATCGCTCTCTCACTTTCTCCTGCCTGACCTAAAAAGAAGGGCACAGATAAGAACAAGGAATTTTCTTTGTTTACCACTGATTTTCTGTATTGTACTTAGTATTAAAAGATTCTGTATTAACACTCAGTTTGTGTACATGGTTTACATTACAAGCCATGTCTTTCTTTAATCAGGCACCGCATCAGTTCAGATCAGTTGTTTTGTAAGTTGCAAATTTCCCCTTTTTTTCATGAGTCAATCTCTAAAATATGCTAATACTCAGGTTCATCTCTTAGGCTACATCCGCCCTAATACGTTTTTGTTTAAACTGCATAACTATTCCTCCATTTACAAATAGCATCTACACTGCTCTAGCGTTTTGGAACCCCTAAAATGGAGACATCTGAAAACACTGCTTGCCCTGTTTCAGTCTGATTTGGTCTTATCAGTCACAGCTTCTCCAGTCAAAAAAGTTAAGCTACATACCTTACGTGATCTCATCCTTCTTGTGTGGGGACTCCTCTCCCATTGCCATAGCTTCCTCAAATGATGGATAATGCTCCTGGCCGGTACCTCTGTAATATGTTCCCATATTTGCTTTGCAAATGTGCCGATGTGCAAAGCAAATATTGGGACGTATTACAGAGGTACAGGCCGGTTAGCAACATATTGGCAACGTGTTCTAACAACTCCCAGTCTGGTTTCCGCTGCCTTGACCGCCATACTCATGTTACTCGTATATAAACAGTTCCACCTCAGTGTCAGTGTAAGTAAAGGAATCTCTGGTCTTACTTTTCGCCATCTCTGCAGTATTTTTAATACTTATATTTTAAGCAACCAGTGGCAGAGTTGACAGTCTACTTCTTGTGAATCGTCATGTGATATCCTTTTTCAGGAGTGTTAATATGGATAAATATTAATTCTGAAACTGTGTTAAGATGCTTGTGTGTACTGAGATCGTTATTGTTTTGGAACGCTGTGTCAAAATGAAAACATATTAGTGTGGATGTGGTCTTAAACTTATCAGTCACTTTGGAGGACTGCATTATCAGTGCCTAATAGACAGTTGGTATCCAATGAGGCAGATGCTGTGTGTGTTTGTGTGTGTGTGTGTGGGGGGGGGGGGGGGTTTGCATGCTCGCTAGCAAGTCCAGAAACCATAAAAGGTCCTCTGGGTAGTGTGAACTCAGACTGGAATGTCCCTGAAGGCAAGAGGCTTCACCAGTTTCTCACCACCTGTCCTTGCTCCCCTCACTCAAACCATCCCACAAAGAATTTTTTAACCCTTATTTAATCAGGTATGTCAGTGGAGAACACAGCACCAACCTGGGGGACCAACTGCAGGGGGATGGAGTGTCAATCAACATCACACACACCAAGGAGCTGACTGGCACTGCTGTCCAATGTCATCCACTCTACTGGACATCAGTGCTTTGCTCAAAGGTATTAGACTTGAAGAAGACATCAGAACATCAGTTTGTGTGTTACATGAGTTAGTCTCTTCTCAGTGCTGCTTTGTTGTTTTCTGGTTTTCAATGGCTCCTAAAGAATTGTTCTTTGTCTGTCTTCCTGTGAACGTTCTTTTGAATCATCCAGGTGTTACACTGTCTTGAGAAAGTTCAATCCAAACCTGACTGTCAGACGATCATGTGAAAGGCTTCTTTAGTCCAGTACTTTCAGACTTTTACAAGTCTTATTTTTTCCTTAAGCTAAATAGCATGATACAGTAAATCTTCCAACAGAAGACAAAAACACATATCTAAAGGTGTTTCTGATGCACCTATCCCATAGAGATCTTATACAAACATGAAATACAGATGAAGATGAAGAAAATATTAGGTGCAAATGTTTGCTATCAAAAAGCTACAGCGAGTTTATTTTGAGCAACTATGATAAACAACACTGTTTTGTGCTGACACATTGTGTCATCTTACGGGACCATGGCTGTCAGCGCTGTGCGAGAAGTGTAGTCCCAAAGGACTGACAGAACTCCATGACTAGTGACAGCATGCTGACAGAGAGCAAGAACAGTGTCTCATCAGTGGAAAGCAGTGTAGAAATCCAGACAGTGCACTGATTCCTGAGACCCACACAGTTAAGAAGACTCAACACATGAACATGTAGTCCATATGTCTTGGTGAGTAATAACCCACAATCTGTTGCTCACATTAAAAGTAGTATTTGTTGTTCTATACAATTGTTTTATATATATTTTTGTGAGCAAGGGCAGTGCTCCAGGGGTCTCATTTATAAAACAGTGCATAGGATCCATACTAAAAATGTACATACAGACAAAAGCCAAAAAATGGCGTGCACCAAGAACATTGAAAATTTCTACAATCAGGCTTCCACTTCAACATCTGCATTGCCAATCTCTGGTCCCCCAAAAGTTTGTAAGCATGGGTCAAAGTTGCTTTTTTGCACGGGACGTGGCGTACACCTCTTTCATGCCTCATTTTGTGTGTACACAATGTTTATAAATGAGACCCAAGTCTTGATGACAGTCAGTGCATAAAGAACCACTATATATTTAACAAATTTAGTGCTGGTAGAGGTGAGACTTAGGGATTATGATGGTGATGTCAGGTTGTCTCCATCCATTGATGATAATTTGATGCTCATGCTTTGGGAAAAATGCTTCTGATTGAAATAAATCCATGGTCTCATTGGTTTGTGGGTTGTAATATAGAAGTTCAGCATCTAGTGGCTGATATATAGTGATATGATACTTTATTAAGGGTAATGTACTAAGGTGTGCACCAATGGATGCTAACTTTCCTTTTGGCTTCCTGTTTTTTTACTAGTTATAACTACAGGTTTTCTTAGACATAACCAGCTATAATTTACTCTTCCATTTTTGTCATCTAATGCTTTAAGTCTCACTACCCACTACCCTCTAAAATCAAGCCATTTTAGTATAAATGCTGGCATATACAGTATTTATATACAAGCTTTCATACTAAAATGGCTTTATTTTAGAAAGCAGTGTAGACTGCGACTTAATTGAAGACATAACAAAAATGGAAGGGCTGTTAATATTTACATATTTATATATTCTACACAACTGGGACACAGGAAGCATCTTGTCACATAATATTAACCATTTATAGTAACTGACAGTCAGGAGGCAGGGATTAATGTCTTTTGGCTGTTGCACAGCTGAACTGGCAACCTCTGGTTATAAGCCTCCACTCACCACATGTTTTGAAATGCAGTAATTTAAACATCAAACTGATCTGTTTAAATCTACAATTCCTTATGTAGTTTGGGGGAAAGATATCTTACTCAGTTGGTTCATTAATATTTCAATATATCAGTTTTAAAAGGCAATTACATCAGTACAAATTTCTACAGAAGCTTAAATGCTGACTATGTCTTTTCTTTCAAGGCAGGTTCTCAGTTAATCTGAGTTATCGTGTTCATTAAAATGGCTATTATCTAAATTGCTAACTAAACTCCTTGGCCCACAGATGAAAGTGCTGTGATAAATCAAAGTTCTGTCACAACAGGATCATTGTCTGCCTCGGCTCTGCCAGTGCACAGAGGAGATCAGCCAAGACGGGCTCAGGAATTGAAAAGTAATATACTGTGTGAGTAATTCCACATTTCTTGGACCCACCATCTCCCAGCCTGCTTTGCATACCTCAGTTTCAGTTAGTACCTACATTTCCCAGAATACCTTTTGATAACCCCCAGAGAATATGCCTGAACATGTTTCACTCAGCTGTAAGTTTTATAGTTGTACCTGTTAATCACAGTAATGTTGTAATCATTTTGTACTCACTGAGGACGTTAGAGTGAAAGCAAAAAGAGTGAGTGGAGTGACAGCAGCATTGTTGCACTAATATGGACTTAAAAGAGGAGGGCCATGCAATATTATCTTCACAATTTGTGTCCGGGTGAATGAGGAGCAATAAACCTAAGCGCTGGCTTGGAGGCTGCAGTGTTGACGTGCTCGACCCTCTGATAGACTTTTGTCTAGTCTGGAGACATGTCTGCCAATTCGTTCCACCTCACAGGACCAACTATTAGTTTCTCCTGGAATGAACCAAGTGCATTGTTTATTGTTAGCCATGCACTGCGAAAAAGAACCATCTGAAACTGTAATTTTAATTTGTTTGGAGGTTTTAAATCACATATTTACTTAAAGCTATATAAAAATCTGATAATGTTAATGAGCAACATATTTTGCTGTCACCAGTTTTAAATGGATTTTATTTTTCAGTATAGCATGGCAAGTCAATGCATATTTTGTCCAGTGTCTGACAACAGTGACCCCCTTCTCAAAATCTCGTCTGGAGAGGCCTTCAATGGGTCATCCGGAACAGTAGTTCATTAACGATGCCTTAATTGGAGGCTTGTTTTTCTTTGAAGAGTTTGGAAACATTGGGGTTAAGGGCAAAATTCCTGAGCAGCATCAACCTCTATGCACCAGTGAGGATGGTAAGTGGGGGCATCAACAGGAACAGCTCCCCTGCAGATACCAACAGAGAAACATACTGTATATACAGTACTTATGGTGCAGTGGAACATGAATGAGCGTATGGACTTACACTGTGAGACATATTAAATCACTGATAGATCTCACAGATTATGTTTGACCACATGATGAAGTCATTGTCATGAGCATGTTCTCAGATGATGGCTGTAATAAGATGCATACTGTTTGGTGTAAACCACTGAACCATGCCTAACTGTTTTGTTCTGTCAAATGACACAACCTAAGAGCAGTATACCAGGCATTTTTGCTTTATGAAAATCAGGAAGTGAATGTCAGTGATTTTGCCCTGGAGAAAATTTCACCACACTTGTCTTCCGTAGGCTGTGGATGCATTCATGTGCAAAACTCTTTAATGGCTTTAATGTCTTTCAGTTTATCCAATTTAGTCTATTTGAGTTGGACACTAAGTCATGGCTGAGTCCAGCTGACATGCTTCCTCTTAATGAATTAAAGCTTTTCATGGTGTCTGGCAGTGGATAATGTGCCACTGTACAGACCGATATATATCTTATTGGTAGATGTTCTACCTCTGCGAAAACAATACAGCTCTTCTGAGCTGAATGCAAACTAAAAGTTAGATATCACTCCACTAGAATGCTTCGAGGCATTGTTTCCTTCAGTGCCCTCAGGGTCCCGTTTTGGACAATTGACTTAAGCGATCAATAACCTACCCCATCAGCCATGTGAGCAATCAAGTGAAAAGTGTGAGGATTGCAGCCAGCCTGTCATTTATTATACAAATTACCCTACTTCTGTATAAAATGGGAATATATTTATTTTTGTGATTTGGATACATTAATCCTACTGTATCACAATTTTGTAGAGTTTATGTGTGTGACTGCTGTTATTCTACTTCTTAGCAATGTTGTAGAGCTTTGTAAATCAAAAGTAACACCATGCAAATGTTAAAGTCAATGCTACACATAAGAGAAATAAGATTTCTGGCCTGTCTTGTGTTAAAGAGCTACAGGGCAGCTACGCTGGTAAACATGGTCACACTGAATGCACTTGTGTGATCTGGAAAACAGAGGCACCAACAGAGAGTCACCAGGTTTAGTTTTAAGCTTTGGCTTCACTTCAGTTGATTAATGAGATAATTTACCTGCGTGTGGCTCGAATAGCCTATGGACATTTCAGTGTGAGAGGTGACTGTCAGACAGACTGGAAAAATAACGCTCTGTCTGACTGCCACACACCAACAGCCGAGCGCGCCACTCACGGAGTGGGGAAAGGAGGAGACACACACCTACATACTTACATGACACACTCACACACACACAAAGACAGAGTGGTTGTTGCGGCAGAGGGCGCAGCAGAGGTTGTTTTCTGTCTGCCGCGTCCGTGTCCAGCTTTCTGTCATTCTGCGTCTTTGTGCGTAAAAACAGAACCGCCGGAATCACCATGATGACCGAGGTCCGGAGTTTCTGCTGCGCCTGGATTTGATTCACAACTCTGGATATGGATTTACTGACTTAAATGGCTTAGCACAAAGTCTCTGGAGGGAAACCCTGAATTTCCACCTGGATTAATGTCTCGACCATGAGGATTACCTGCGCTTGGAAATGAATCTTTAAGCGCTACAGTGTAGGGTCAGAAAGTACAGTGAAGTAGTAAATACTTCACCATCAGTAACCGACAGGTACGTCAACATGGTCATACGTGGGCTGTTAATATTGATTATTAATTCATTGATAAAGTATTTGAACCTCATGGGAAGTTTTTTTTTTTCATTTCCTATAGTTATTGCATATTGTGTATTCTGCATGTTTTTCTTCTGGTTTGGACGCTTATAACTTCTGTCCAGTTCAGTGAACTTAATTTAGACAAGGTGTAAAGCAGGGCTGAGTTATATGGTCTGGGGTGAGGGGTGAAAGTCCTTCCCTAACCGGACCTCAGACCTGCTGTCTAATGGGGTGGCAGTTTTTCAGCAGGGGGGCTCCCTCATTAGGAGTCAGGGGTCAGAGAGGTCAACTCACATGGTCAAGTGGGTACAAGTCGTTTATTTTTTCCCTGAGTCAGTGTCTTGAGGGGACTGTCAGGCACATTGATGTAGTGGCAGATGGAAAAAGTGGCCCTAGTTAACATTCGTTGGATATTAATGACACACAGGCACAGTGCAGTCATATCATTTACATTTTGATACTATCACACTGAATTCTGGGAATTAAAGTCAGACTAAGAAGATGATATTCAGTAGATGGATAGTGATTAGACAGAGTTTCTTTTGGTTTTGACCCTGTGGTGCCTCTGCGCTGCGGCCACACAGGCAGCATTTATGTTGTAAATGTCAGTACCACTCTGGTGTATGCTAATGTAAACTTCTCTATTTTCACTTAAGTGTCCAACTTTAAGAGTCCAGGAGCTATGCAGACAGCCTGCATCTGGGTTGCCAGGTAATGTCAGAGAGATTGTTTCAATCATGGATTACTTATTTCTTTATATTCATTTGTATTTAAATGCAGATGAGTGTCTGTGTTTCTATTTTTAGATCTCATTCTTTATCCATAGATCTCTTAATTCACTGTTGTTTTATTAGCATCACAAAATTATGTATGTTCTTGATTCCAAACCAACTATGTCACGTAGGTGAAACTACCAGTTATCCCCAGTAATCGATTCTATCTGTTTTCTGTAGAGCTTCTGTCCTTCAGCTGTTGCTTTGGTCAGACCTCCTGGACTGCCAACACACAACAGACCACAGGAAGGTGAGCAGCAGTTGCGTGGCAAGTGTTGCTACTGGAAAAAAATAAATCT